AGAAGTAGGCTGAGCCTGCAAGTATTTTTGAAATTGAAAGCAGAATAAGGTTAAACGTCAATTAGTTGACAGTTAGTTTTGTTGTCTGTTGAAACCTGAAACGTTTTTTTGCAATTGTGAATGCACGAAATTTAGTTTCTTTTACCTGTTTTTTTTTTGTAAGTTTTATAAAAATGCCATTTTTATTCTCCAATCAAGAGTTAGCGGATATTCATTTTGTGTATGGCTTTGTAAATGGAAACGCAGCAGAAGCAGCCAGAGAATACGCACGAAGATTTCCAAACAGACGACATCCAACTCGCTCAGTATTTGTAAGAGTGCATCGCCAAATAATTGAAAATGGTTTTGGAAATCTCCAAAGGGATCAAAACATAACTGTCGGTCAGCGCAGATTTACTCGTATGATTCTGCGTGAGTTTGTTAGAGATCCGACCACAAGTGTTAGGAGCCTACCTTTTGCCTGCAAGGTTAAATGCTGCGACCTTTTTGGAATTTTTAAAGGCTGAACATGCAAATATGTGGGATAATGTTATGTTAGATTTACGAAGATTGGCCTGGTTCCAGCTTGATGGTTGCCCAGCTCATTATTCGAGAATAGTTAGAAACTGGCTGGACGAAAATTATCCAGAAAGATGGATCGGCCGTGGAGGACCAGTCGCCTGGCCTCCACGATCCCCTCACCTAAATCCATTAGATTTCTTTGTGTGGGGATTTCTAAAAGAAAAAGTGTACCAGACTCCCGTAACCACGAGAGATATGCTAATGACAGAATCAGGAATAATGCATGTGATGAAATAAGGCTTATTTGAATAATGCTATACCACGTTCGATCATTCGTAGATGTGAATTGTGTATTGAATATTGGGTTTACATTTCGAGCAACTATCTTTATTTTGTATGTTTGTCCTAACTATCCAATAGCATTTTAGTTGTAAATAATTAATTTAATTTGTTAAAAATAATATTGGAAAATTAAACAAATTAATATTCTGTGTTTATTTGGAGTTAGGAATTATTGTTGTGTTTAAAAACACAATCTAAACGATCATCTTAATTACTTGAAATGCCCAAATCGAAAATGTAAAAAAAATATTATTTTTCCATAAATAATTAAAAATGCATCGAACCTTAAAAATCGAAATATCTCAAAAACGGCTAACTATAACGAAAACTCACAGGAGAGCTTTTTTATGTTGAAAAGTGCGAAGAATCAGTTTTTTTATTCAAAAAGCAAAAAATTGTACTAAGAAAAATTGTTCGGTCATTTTAATACACTACAGGTACAGTAGAGAGCGCACTCTAGCGGATACAGTAAAACTATGCCCATGGTTCGTTTTGTCCTACCAAAAAACCCGAGTATACCAATTTTCACTGTTATACTCAAATATTGTTCGAAATATTTAAAAAAAAAACTATTTTAGAAAGTAATTTTAAACACCCTGTATTTCGGAAGCCACGCATTTTTCGACCCATGTTTATATAGACTTTATACAATAATTTAAAAAGTTCTATTGAATCTTAAAGTTATGCAACAATAAACTGAAACACCCTGTATATATAACAAATAGTAGTAAAATAATTGGCAATATCCGCAAAAAAGAGGAAAGCGGATTCGAGCAGAAAATAGGATAGGTCACCCGAGTGATACCTACTTCTGCTGGTTGGCTTCATCAGGCCCGAAATGAATGCACATATATGAAACTACAAAAGTAGATACACATGCCCACACAACCCCATAGTATGTTACAGCAACCTTCTTCTTTTGAATTGGTTTATCCGAATATGCAATAAAATTTGAGGCATTCAATTTAAAAAATCACAGCTTTGATATGTAGGTCAAAATTGGGACACCCTGTATAATTGCTAATATTTTAGAAATGTGCCCTCGAATGTCGTGTATAACATGCTAAAAATAGGTTTTACCAAAATGTTCTTGTTTATGAGTAATATTCCGTCCACACATGGATGGCCCACCCTGTGTACGATATATAGGCCCATCACGACCGATCCAACGATTGTTACTCCAGGTGTCCAAATAGTTACGCACACGATTATGATTTTTTTTTATACTCGAACTACCACGAAGGCCTAAGGCCTAAGCGCCCATTGGGTACCGTGGGGCTATAGGGGGATACATGGGAAAGAGGGGGGGGAACGCCACACGGACTCTGGCAAAGGAACACGTGTGCATGCAACATGCACACATTCTGGCTCCGCCTACGAGATCCGCCGGGTGGTACCTCCGCGTTCGACAGTCAGAAACCATCTACCACCTACGAACAATCACAACAGCCTAGCCAAGAGAAAAATTTCTCCTGGGACGGGACTCGAACCCGCACAGCGTACGGCGACTGATCAGGAGACCGAAGAGACTACTACTGCGGCCACCGCTGCTGCCTGATAACGCGCAGGTACGGTGTCATGTTGGAAGTAGGTATATATGCATCCGAGTTTGCAGGTTGACATCCTCCAAAAGCAAAGGGAAATGCTCGATCAAACAATTCAAGTATTCTGTTCCTCTTAATCTAAAACTACAATTTGCGTTTTTGACCACCCTGTATGAGCAAAAATAAAAATTTGAGAAAATACAACATTCAGCACTCCAAATTTCAAAGTGGCGGACTGAGGGGTTGCCTCCATAGTATGTAATATCAATTTTATTCTTTCGAATCGGTATATCCACATATGCAATAAAATTTGAGGCATTCCACTTGAAAAATCACAACTTTGATATGTAGGTTGAATTGAAAACATCCCATGAATAAATTTTCTCAAAATGTATTTGTTTATGAGTAATAGTCCGTCCATACATGCATGGGCCACCCTATATATAAATATATATATAGGGTGTTACTTAATGATATGCGAATATTTAAGGGTGTGAATCTACATGAAAAATTATTGTTAGTTTGCTTTATAAACTATGGTCCAAAAATGTTTCCTTACAAAAACTCGGTTTTCAATGCAAAAATAATTTTTAGCTCCAACAGTGGCGTGCGTACAAATTATTTTTGAATTCCCCGTTCAATTTAAACCAAATGATATCTCTTGAATCGTTTTTTTTCGATGCGCCATTTTTGAGTAAAAAAATAAAAACCGTTCCGCCGAGAAAATTAATGTAACAATTGAAGAATGCAATAAACATCTAGTTGCTCTGGAATATCTCACTGGCTTTTAACATCCGACAAGTCTCTGTTACTCAAATCTGTTCGCTGTGACATCTTTTTCATTGTTTAGTTTTTACAAGCTTGTTAATAATGGTGAATTATCCAAATGCAGAAATGGCGGAAATGCATTACGTATATGGCCTTGCCGACGGTAATGGTGAGCAAGCCAGACGGATTTAGATAACCCGATCGTACTTTGCCCTCCTAGAAAGCGATAAAAAAAAGACATCTTAGCGTAGACATGAAAGACGTCATATTGAATACATTCAATATAGAGCGGAAGGAAGACGAAACATCAATTAACCCGAAAATAGCTCTGAAAGTGGCAGATAAAATTGGGGTATGCCAAGCGACAGTTTTAAACGAACATAAGAAAAAGCATGCCTTTTCCAAGCCAATGACGGGTAAAAATCGCAAAAGTATCATAAGATCGTTGGATGACGCTGACAAGCATCCGATTCGGAGGAAAGTGCACGAGTTCTTCTTCAGAAACGAAATACCGACAGTTGGTAAAGTACTACGGGAGGTTAACGAGGATGCTATGTTACCAAATTTCAAACTTTCGACTATTCATAAACTTTTGAAGCATTTTAATTTCGAATGGAAGAAACGAGGTCGTAACAGCTTACTTATGGATAGAGAAGAAATTGTTCTGTGGAGGAGAGAGTACCTGCCCAAAATTAAATCTTTCAGGGATCAGCACAGGAAGATCTATTACCTGGACGAAACCTGGATTAACGCTGGGCACACTACTGTATGGATTGACAAAACTGTGACTTCATCCAGAAGGGCATTTCTAGATGGACTGTCGACCGGATTGAAAAATCCAGCAGGTAAATAGATCGAAGTAGTTCACGGTATCAATTTTTGCGCACAATATCTCTCTATCTTTGTACAAGACGTGCATGTGTACTTAGCGGATTTTATCTTTCTAGGCAAAGGAAAAAGGCTCATTATTTGCCACATTGGGGGTGTAGATGGCTTCGTGGATGACGGCTTATGGTCTTTTGAGTCAAAAAAGACCACTGACTGCCATGAAGAGATGAATGGGGAAGCATTCGGGAAGTGGTTTTCAGGCATTTTACGAAGACAATTCTGTGGTTGTTTTGGATAATGCTCCCTATCATTCTAACAAAATATAAAAAATCCCAACTTCAGCTTCTAGGAAATCAGACATTCAGAGCTGGCTCCGTTCCAAAAATATAACTTTCGACCCTTCCTTACTGAAATTACAACTATTAGATATTATGAAACAACACAGACCAAGACATGATAAATATGTCATAGATGAAATGGCCAAAGCACACCACAAAACAGTACTCCATTTGCCGCCTTACCACTACATATAGGCAGATGTTAAGAATTTTGTTGCTGCACACAATACAACATTTAAATTTTCTGACATGCAAGAGCTGTTCAGAATTGCTATACATAGGGTCACGCTAGGAAGATGGCAAAAATGTGTGCAGCATGTTCAGGAGAAAGTGGAGGTAGCAATGTGGGAGCTGGACAACATAATTGAGAGATTTTGAATCCATCATCATAAAAATTAATGACGATAGCTCTTCAAGTGAGTCTGAGTAAGTTTCGCGTTTTTGTTTTGTCACAAAATACATATTATGGGAATCCTAGTTATAGTGAAATATTAACTTACAGATAAACTACAGACAATGCAAGTCCGAAGTGCACCTTCAAAATCTATTTTCAATTGATTGAACAGCCTTGTATTTATTCCATGTACAAAAGAGTCATCTCCACCCCTCGTTGACTACGGATTCATTGTGCATAGTGAGCAGCTGGTTACCTCTGGTATGTATTTCTCCATGTTGTCTAGTTTGAAAAATCTGTAGAAAAACTTAGCATCCCTTCAAGAATAAAAATTTGATTTTGCGACACCCTTAACTATAACTACTTCACTATATTAGATAATTTCGTTAAATACTGTCATCTTTGTTTTACAACACGTTGGTGGTAGTCCATCATTCGGAGGTAGCCCTGAATGCGGCCCTGTACGCCGTCCTTGCTTTTGGCAATCACGCATCCATTCTATCTTGAGTGTAAATACACTATAAGTTTCGTGGTCAGCCCATAATTAGATGCTGCACATGTTAACAAATAGTCGCTTAGTACATTCTCTTCCTCTTCTATAAAAATAGTCGGAAAGGTATAACCCATAGATGGAGCTTTGCCTTCTGGGTTTGCTTGATAAGCCTCTTTTTTCTTAGTATATCTTGACAAAGACATATATAGCTTAGCAATCTAAGCGGCAGCATCTCTTAAACTTTTACCTCTTAACATAAACTCTTCAAAGGCCAGATGGTAGATTTCGACACTAGCAGTTCCTCTATCAGTGTTTCGTGTATACTTATTTGGCATTCTGAAACAATAAAGTATGCATATGCAATTATACACGTTAAGTAACTACTAACACACCAACAAACATCTAAAATTAATAAAAAATGTTGTGGAAATAGCCCAGCTAGAAACTGAGTAAGATAGGAGAGTTGTGACAGGCTGCCACAACTCGAATAGGTGTTTAAAATGACGACTTGGTCCGAATAATAATTCATATTTTCTAAACACGATGCGCACACAAAAAATCAGTGCAACGTTTTAGAGTTGAATAACTATACAACTTAAGAAAAAATAACACATCAATGCACATAATACATATATTCAAATAAAATTTTGAAACAACTTACTTTACGCATTTTTTTTGCACACTGACGATATATTCAGACAACCGCGTCTCGTGCGCGGGCGGGTGGTACTTAGTCGAGTAGCGCGTGTCGAGAGCGGCAAACAAGCGGTGTTCCAGCTCGCTAACTACAATAGGTAGGGAGAAATCGTCCTTGTCACAACTCACCTCTGTCACAACTCTCCTAGGTCTCCCCTAAATGTCGCTCAGCTGCTTAACATCTGTCTTCTTATTCATACAGTTGTCATTCATGAAAATGTGGGACATTTCCAGGAATAAACGTTTGGATAGGTGCTTTTCTATATCATCACTTTTTTGTGATGAAATTATTCCTTTTAGAGATCTGGAAGTCTGACCTTTGTATGTTTGGTTGCAATTATTGCAATTGATATAGTTAACTGTGTTGGTTAATCAAGCAGCGGGACTCTGTCTTTCATCTTTGAAAAAATACAGTTAATAGTGAGGACGGATTTGCAAGCAATTCGACAGTTCAACCGGCTACATGGTCTGATCAGCTTAGGGATCAGTTCTTTGATATAGGGTAGGACAGCAAAACCAGATCTGGTATTTGGGATGGCGGTTATATTGTTATTGGAATTGGTATTGTTGCTGGGAATTATATCAGTTCTGTTATTAGGAATTTTGAGAATATTACTTACAATTTGGAAAAATACTGGAAGAAGATCTGAACAAGATCTTGTTGTTAATCAAACACTTCGGATAACCATTGTTGATGAACAGTTTTGATAGCTTCCGTAAATTTGAAGTATGGAAAGTATTATCAGAGGTGCTGATTACTCTTGTTTTCATCTGCTTCACCAAGTTGATTTTAATCCTTAGTTTATGGTATGACCTAAAATTGAGGAAACGGCCTGAGGCCATGGGTTTCTGGTACCAGTCTACCAATAAACTATTACTGTTGGTTCGGATGAGTCTTGTGTCTAGAAATTGGACAGACGGTCCTCATCTTCTCTTCCAATGGTAAATTGGATGTAGGGGTCACAGCTGTTGAAATCTCCGACAATACTATCCAAACCTCTGGAAGGAAAGCATAAAATATAGTCATCTACGTATTCTTTTAATGAAGAAAAGGTTATAGGGTAGTGTCGGAATAAAAGTATCAAGCAGATCATCCATAACATATTGCGCCAAAATTGGTGATAGAACAGTTCCCATAGGACAACCATGTGTCTTGAGAGCTTGAGACTAATAAAGTAGAAAGAATCCTCATTGCTTGAGTTTTGTCGAAGTATCCAACAAAAGGCGGAAGCTTTATTTTTCACCTAACTGGTCTAGGCGACAATGACCACGTCTCAAGTTTTATATATATATAAAATATATATAATATATATATATATATATATATAATATATATATATATATAAAATATATATATAATATATGTCAGATATAATCCAGAAAACTTCAGGCCATTAAATTATCACAATGATTATAACACCAGAAACTTTAAAAAAATGCTAGGATAGTACTTTAATGACAAAATTTAGAAATACATCAGCCTTATTAATCTTACGTCCGTTGTTTCCGGATTTTATTTTAAGTGTTTTACAATATTTGTCAGTGTAATATTTGCCCCTGTTATGTGTTAACTGTCTTTTGTACTATATTTGTCAATATATGTTTGTGTAGTTTAAGTACTTCTTTTTGAATTGTCTTATATCATAACATTGTGATCAAAAACACCAATCAAATTCTACTCTATCTCGAAAATTGTCAACATTAAAATTCAAAATAAACCAGAAAACCCAAAAAGCTCTAGATCAAAAAACACTATTTTTTAAATATGTAAGAAACAAATATTAAACAACTTTACCGTAATTTTGGACATGACATCGATCCAGATCCATTAAAAGAATAGAATAAGAGTATGCAAAAAAGCAAATCGGCATATTTTTCCGAGATATTTATTTTATCTTTGCGTCCAGCCTTATATTCATTTCAGCATGCATTGTACCTCCATGATTACAAAATCGATTTTGACAGGACAGTCGGACTTTAAATTACACGTGACGTATACATACGTTTGCGTACATCATCAGTCACAAAATTTCTGAAAAAGGTAATAAAAGGATTAGCGCAAACGCTACAACTGACAGGTTGATTTGCAGGGAGATGCGAATGATGTATTCTAAACCCATCCACGTGTTTTTCAACGTGTGCGGACTTTGATGCAGATCATCTAGTTTTGCTCATTTCTAGCAGTTGGCACATATTTTAAAGTATGTCTAAAGAGCCTGGATGTGTATTGTTTGAATGCTGTCATATTCAAAACTGTCAGTGAATATTTAATTTAACCCCTTACACATCTATTTAACATTTGATTTTCTACGGGAATTTATCTCGATGATTCCAAAGTCAAGGCCATCTCAATAATACCAATTAAAGCTAAAATTTTCAATAAGGTAATAAAGAAAAGTTGGTAAATTGTTTGACAACACGGATACTCTTGATGATGTATAGTATGGTCTTAGACGTGATTGTTCAATTATTCAGTCAATATTGTGAGTTATGCGGTCGATAAACAAATTTTATAGGATACGCAGACTCGCTTTACGTTTCTCAGGTCATATTTAGAAAACAGGTCGCAACTTGTTGAACTCAATGGCGGTAAATCCAATTTAAAATCGATTAATATCGCAGACGATATGACACTAATAGGTTCATTCCAATACCAATAGAGATTCGCTCATTGATGAGGTCAAACAGACTGCTGAGGTGAACAGCTGATCAGCAAGTGGCATCTTTGCGTTAGTCTATAACGTTGGCATTATGAATTGGATGTATATCCGGTAAAACTTAGGACCGTATTGAGAACTGTTGTTCACATATCTAGATACTTTTAGTGACCGAAAAATTGGACAAAAAATATAAAAAGTACATATAGAAAAATGTTTATTAGAAAATTGTTGTAGTACATCTGGGATTTATTGATTACGAGGTAAGTAAACAGAACAGACTGTGGTGCCCTTTCCAGCTGTTATTTTGCATGTAAAAATAATATAGAGATGTAATTTTCGTTAGTTGTCCGTCATCAGTATAGCATAACTAGAATATGGCTGTTTCATTGCCCTGACTTTAAATGAAGTCATGATCATTACGAGCCATTTTAATTTCAGCGTTCTTTTGTATGCGAACGAACAAAAAAATATAACAAAATACGGCTCTGTCTACCTGGCGTTGACGAATGCGTCAGGATTATGTGTCACTTGTCAATATAGGTAATTTTGAAATAATCCTAGATAATCAGCTGTTATTTTATCGTAATGAATACTCTTGAAAAAGGCAATAGATTTGTGACTTGTCTCTTATGGGGGGTAATCTGGGGAGTTAGAAGTAGATAGTGTTGACGAGGTTCGAGGTCATCTATATAAACAAATATGCCGATTACTGATCTGCAGTTCACGATCAATAGATGTCAAAGCGTAATGAAATAGTATAGAATAGATTATCTTCCTATCAAATTTGTCTTTTTCCTCTCTACTTTTGCCAGTTTGAGCTCCAACCATTAAAGCGCCGCGCCGCCTAGCGGGAGCAAAATTTGACATAGCTACCATTGTCCCTAATTAAATTTAATGATGGAAAATCACAAATAAGCATAATTTCTCCTAATAAAGCAAACATGGGCGCGCGCAAGAATTTTTTTCAGGGAGGGGGCGATCATCGCTTCGCTTAAATGCTCATGTCACCCTATCTAAGAAACTAAATAGGCATATGTTTACACTACTACTTCGACAATTGAAGTGCAGCGTTACTAGAAACGGATTGCTGTTGTAGTAACACACTGTATAAGAATGATAACAGGGACAATGAAACGAAATGTTAAACAAAACATATTGTCACAGAATTGTTCAATTGTACTTGAGAAAGGTCACAGTGGTGCTCAAAACGTCGTACAGAAAACCGAAATTTAAAGATATTTATGTAGTTTGATACTGCCAGGCAATGTAGTTCTAAGAATTACTAAGTGGTTCTTGGTACTTTTTCCCTCTCATCTTACTTACTGTATAACTCTATGGGGTAACCCTTATAATGTTGAGATGGAGAAAAGGTCGGTTAAGTGTAAGCTCCTGTAAATAAATTTAAGTTTAATGTCACTGCCTTCAATGCTCAGGTTCTTTATATTCCATATGTATGTTCAGATTAGCAGGTTCTGCTCGCAATTCCTTATCCCTGAATTTGAATCTTTAATAATATACTATCTGGAGACATTGAGCAACTTAAAATTTAAAAAGGCTATCAAAACTATACTGCTGTGTTTCTGCAGCACTGTTGAGTTTTACATCGTATTGGTCATTGATGAAATAACATAGTTTGAATGTTTCAGGAGAAAATTTAATCACTGACAGATGAACCAGTTTTAAGAACTTTTTTGGGCTTAATGTAGTATTTGAGTTCTTGAAGATAGAAATTTCGAACAACATTCATAGTTCATCAATAATAATAAGGGAACAACTGCTATAGGCTTACGTTGCTTCAGCAGGAAATAGGGTTAGTGGTAGATAACTTAAGCAAAAGAATCATACTTTTCATGCTTTTGTTTAATATTGACTTATTAACATGTCACATCTTTTAATTTTGCATGTTTTAATATTTTTGAGATACATAAGGGGAAAGCAAGGTAAGGCAAATACCTGAGAAAATCGAAGCTATGAATTGACCATCGTGAGAAAGTACAGACTTGATTCGTTCAACTTTCTTCAATAATCGGCAATCGGTTGTAGAAGAACCCACGTGCTTATTGGATTACTGGGCATCATAGTGTATTTTTTTCAACAGAAAAATGACATTGCAAGATAGATCTTGTGCGTTTAGGTTCCATTTGTATACTAACTATATGAACAGCTAGCTGTTTGAGATATTTAGCGTATAATTAAAAAATTGTGATTTCAAGCAAAATGGATAAGGCACGAAATTTTATTTTTGTGGTTAGTTAAAACGGATATTATGGTGAAATATACCTAATAATTATAAGTGAATATGAAAACAAAACAAATTAAGATGCTGATACTGGTTTGAAATGACTCGTTCAAGAACCCGCCGTCGAGTAATGCTTGGAAAAACCACTATGTCTGGGACATCAATATTTTTGCACGGAACGTGTATTACGAGGTAATAATATGACGGAGAAGGAACGTAGTGACTTACGATGTGTATATCCAGAATACGCATTTACCTCTAATGAAGGTGGTGGTTTTTAAAGCGACTTCTCAATTATGCGTCATCTCTATGGTTTACGTTTCATCACGTGCTTCTGTTCGTTACTCATTTATGTTTGACTATACCAGTTCTTTTTACTTTTCCACTACTAACGAGGAAGTATTGTAATCGAGAAAAACTTGAGATATGTTTTTTGGATGTCATGACGAAAAACCTTAGTACTCATTTCCGTCGCTTTGTCGATCCGCCTGTCCATCGGCCTGCTGTCTGTCAGTCTGTCTGTTCGCTAATCCTTGGCCAGTTTATAACTTGGAAAATATCGCTCGGATTTGGATGATTTTCAAACAAGCTTACAACTGCCAAGGATGAAAAAGCTTTGTGGTTCTTCAAAATGGGTGCAATGGCGGCAGAGAAATAAAAATTGCTCAAACTTCGTTTGCTGACATCTCAGAAGCTCCAGATGATTTTCGGAAAATAAATTGTAGGGGCAAAAAATTGGGGGTTAAGAGTTGCAGGAGGTGCGGGAGGGTGTATCTTAATTTTTGACGTTGACATATTTATATAAATGTTGTAAAATGGACAATGAGTTCGTGGAAAAACTTCCGCGGATATCAATTAGTAAGAAAATTAAGTAATTTTTACGTCTCTCCCTATTGCGGTTCAGACGCAGAATGACTGTGGGATTTAAATTTGTCGGATTCTTACACTGAGAAAACATGGTCAGTTAAACAGTTGTTCTGGAAAAATTTCATTGCCCATAATAATGTTTTTAATTAGTCTAAGCAAATAAATTCGGCCTTATTCAACCAAATTTTCTGGAACCAGTTTAATTGAAACTAGAATGCTATTAAACTAATTTGCTTTGAAACTGTTTTATTATCAATAATTTTAGGTAATTAAGTTCCTGTCAAAAGGTACATTTGAAAGAACAGAAGATTTTAATAAAAACAGTTAAACTGTTGGGACAGACGCAGAGTCGCGCTTCAAACTCCTCAGCTTCATTCGTGATTTTCGCGAGGGGCTTCATATTTTGATGTTGCCGTTGTGAAGTTGATCAATTCTGGTGATCAAGTGAAATACTTGTTTATTTTATTCATACAGTCATACATGTGCCAGTGAAGGGCATTTATACCAAACATGTGCGCAACAAAGGCTTGATGTGCTTTTATTTTATATTGCATAATGTATATATGTATAGAAAGTGGAGCCTGTTGGTGCAAACTTTGTAGTATAATAAGATATGAAAGTATCCTAGCTTGTTTAAAGTGCTGTCTATTTATTTATATATGTGAATGCGTTGAATGCGGGTGCGTGCAATATTGTTCTATTATTAAAAATAAAAGGACAATTCTTGTACGCATGTTCAAGTGGCCTTATTCAGTTTCAGGTATTTCTTTCCCAACTTTCTGAATTTAAAATAAAGAATTGCTTCTACTGAAGATTGATATAATACGTTTCTGGACAAACAGGCAAATATTTGGTATAACTTGATTCCATAATTATTTTAGTAAGTTCACAGCCAATGAAAATGAAAGATATCGAATTTTGTGAGAGTTATAGAATTCGGAAGTTTTTTTAGGTTTGAAATCATCAACTATCAATATCAAGTTCTCCAAACTTTTTTATATCCAATATTTGTCAGAACACAGTTATAATATACATAATTCAGTGAAATGCAATTTGTTTTTTGAATTCAAAATATTATCCAAATATCCTACCCCAAACAATATGAATAAGAGCTAGGCAAACACTTTTACCTAAATTAATTAAACAAATTTAATAAATAAAATTAAATTGTTTTACTTGATGCAGGTAGACTCACTTCATTATTTCATTAATTTTAGATATATTGACATAATCAATTAACGGTTTAATGAATTTAATTGAACGATTGTGTTTTAGTTTAATTAAATTAGTTTCATAGATTAATCAAACTATTTTAAAAATCTGAGTTTAATCAAACTTATTAAACTTGTTAGCTGTCATACTGGATTGAATTTTTTAATTGGTCTAATTAAAATTTTAGTTGGTATAATTACTTTTTTTCTCAGTATACGATGACTTGACTTGAACAGTTTATATATTTCTAGGGCAGGCTACAGACGGTAAGCAAGTGAGGACACATTAACAAAAAATTCTCGATTAATATGGGAAGCGCATACTCGTATTTCATCATCCCCGCGTATCAAACTCTGAAGCCGGTACTGGATATGCCGCATGAGTCTTCTAGTGACTCGCACGGGTATTATGTAAAAAACCTATAAAACGTCAAAAAACCTATAAATTGACATCTTACAGACTAGGTAGTTTTTAGGGTGCAAACAGTCATTCCAGGTTTATTCACTAGGATCGTTGCGAGCGTTGATCTATGGAGGAATTACTCAACTACACGCATTGGTGATTGCATATGTTTTGTGAAGCTGAATAGTCTGAGGTTTTCATCTCTGAGAAGATGTGAAACAAATAAAGTTGGTTGAATAGCAATGTCGCATCTGGATGATTATGTGTATTGGTCTGTATGAGTATAAGATCAGTGATATTTGCTGTGTGAGAAAATTATTACTGAATAAGCTGCCAATGAAGTAAATATCTATTGGCTGTGCCCTACGGGTCATTTATATGTTGGCCTATCTGAAGAAAGGTTATGTTCAAAGTTATAAATTACGATTTTTCCCGTTTTTTTTGTGTTTTCAAAAAATTTGAGCAGCGCTACGAGAAATCGTCTCCGCGCCCGCGTTGTGTGCAATTAAGCCACATCACAGAAAAATTAGTAATGACGTATCACATATCAAACATTTTCGCAGTGGCGTTGATTTTTATTTTCTATTGGACATCGCAAAATAAATTTCCATAATATTTAAATGACTGGAAATAGAAAGTAATGTAACAACCTTTCCACTTTCATAAATATTACTGTCTGTAGCATATTTTCTCACCTGTTCCTTCACCAACCAGGGGTTTTCTTATCGCTCTCATTTTCGAATTTCAGTAAATTTGCATATGTAATTACCAGATCGAATAAGAAAAAGCAGATGCGCATCTCAAGTAGGTAAGTGTATTTGAGACAAGAATCCAATTGAACTATCATCAACACATATTATTAGCACACAAATCCTCACTATGCACCTATGCATTGCCGTTTCCTTCTAGCTATAGTATACAACGTACAGCTTAGACCCCTAGTAATGCCATCTCTGAAGCAGATTTTACATCACATCAGAGCCAAACATTGATAACTAAAGTATCATGATGTTTAGACAACACGTACAACAAAACAAGTTCACAACATGTATCCATCAGCTAGTGCTAAACTAACAGTTTGTAGAAAAACCTATATAATGTCACAAAAAACCAATACAATATCAAAAACATCGACATAATGTCACTTTTCAAGATCCTGATACCCGTGCCGGCCTGATTTTATTTGCAAGCTACTTTATTGACATTCTGAACTGAACTGGTTCATACTTTCTGATTCACTCATGAAAGGTAACGAGATAAAAATAACAAAGCTCATTCTCATACTTTTCCCCATACCATATCTAGCTAGCATCGTGCATATATGGGATATGAACAAAATACCAAATGCAAGTAGATTAAGCTGTATATAGGTGAAACAGGACAGAGGAATGAAGGATAGGGGATGAGGGTAACATATGTCACATCCATCCTACCAATTTCATTTTCGATGTACGCCGCGTACCTTTTTCAAAGTCGACAAAGGCATCAGCAAAGTATATACCACAGTATACAGTTAGGCGACACTCCCTTCTATATGAAGAATTTGCATATGGCATAACGTGGATCCTTCTTATTATTCTGAACGAAAAGTCTCCTATTTGGGCAGCCGTTGTTACAAACGAAGGGAACTCAGTACACAACCAAGTAACTCTCTCCACCTAACTTCCTCACTCTGTGCAATGCCCAGATAAGACCTAGCCTCGAGTACTGATGACATGGTTGGGGTGCTGCCACCCTGACTACATTGCCCACACCCGATGCTGTTCATAGAGTGCTGTCCGACTGAGCGATGACTCTCCTCTAACAGTCAGGCTCGGGATCCTTTCGTACCGGCGCGGCGGTCTTTGTTCCGAAGGTGCAGTATTCTAGAATAATCTATATGAGGAAGCTTTTCTCAGTTCTACTGATCATAGGTAGTTCAAAAATCGAGTCGTCTTTAAGCTACAAGTAATCAAGGATGCTCTGATTTTGGCCTATTTACTTACTTGCTTACTCACTGACAAATAACACTACAGCCTCGGGTGGTAGAATATAGCTAACCACGTACTATATTTCGGTGTCAAAAAATTATTCGAAATGAAATAAAATATTTAGGCGACACCTATGAGAATTTGTGACAGCGGTTTCTCCTCTAAGTAATAATAATTAGAAATTTGTGTTCCACAGATGGTGCTGTAGGCAACTAAATGAGCATATATGACCATATAGCTGGCCACAGCGCCATCTGTGAAACGCAAACCTTCTCAAAGTAGATTTTTAATCATTGCGGAGAGGAGAAATCCTGCTGTAACAACCCATCTAACAATTACCATTCCTATTAGAGTTGCAAGAGTGATTATACAGTATTCCTTACACAGCATTGTATACTGTAAGAACATTGGCAAAACCCTCTTAGAACAGCTATACAAGCGGAATGGGCACACCTAATAGGACACTTCAGTCATTTAAGAGGTTGTATAGGGGCTGCAGGTAACAGTTATACAACAAAAGTGTAAGCCTCTTGCAGCCGCTATAGGACATTTGCGTCAGTGCAAGATTCAGTTTTTGTCAACTATACAACTATTCTGTTACGTGATTCTACTTTACTGCAACCAAACTATATCTTATGCATTCTATAGACGA